CTATTCTATTCTATTCTATTCTATTCTATTCTATTCTATTCTATTCTCTCCCATTTTATTCCCTTCTGGTTTGTTCTGGTCTGTTCCATCCCTGCTGCAGTTCTGTGACTGGTACAGGAGCTCAGGTGCAATTTGGGGTCCCCTGGGGTGTCCCACCTTTGCTGAGCTCTCCTGCCAATGCCCTGGGATGGCTCATGGTCCCCTTGGCTTTTCCTTATGGAAAACCCACCGTGTCCCAGGGCCTCCTGCGTCCTCCCTGCCCAAATCCATGGGTTCCCATGGCTGCAGCAGGAGAGCCAAGTGGCCTTTTCCTTTGGGAAACCTTGTGCTGAATGTGTGTACAGAGTGAATGAAGGAGGAGCCACAGGGATGTGCTCCCCAAATTGGACTGAAAACAGGTGACAGGGAGCAGAGCTGGAGCTGGAAAACTCCTGACAGTTCCAGAGCTACTCAGCAACCTCTGAAAAATCCCTGGAAGTGTGTGAGACACTGGAGAAGGGGCCTCGTTTTTATTAAATTATTGCCATGAAAATACTAAGCTATTATTTGATTTTTTTAACTCAAAACTCTCAGCCATCCCTGCTGAATACAAAATTCCCGAGGTTTGGGGCCTGGATTAAGGTGACAATGAGGTGTTTTTAATAAGAGGTAAAGTGCAAAAATGGCCAAAAACTGTCTTTAGTTATTTATTTTAGGAAGTCACTTGTGGTTAATATTTTGGTTTTTATTGGTGTGGCCACTTTTTTTTCTTTAACTGATTAACATTTGAGCCCAGTCCTGACGCTCCTGCTAATTAAAGCTCCTGTTTGATTGCACAGCCGGTCTGTGTCTCCTGCTGCAATTTACGCTTGAATTCTCCTGGAAATTGTACATATTGAAATGAAATAAAGAAATAAAGAAATGCATTTTCAGCATGCAGCCTCTCCCTGTATCAATGGACACGGTGATCCAGAAGAACCAGCTCTTGTGTTAGTGCTGCCAGCTCAGTTTGATCTGAAGCTCTGTTGAACTTCCCCCAGCTGCTGGGTTGGAAGGGGTTTGTTGTTCCTCCACTTTTAAGCACCTTAATAAAGGACTTCCAGCTGCTCGAGTTCCTGATCTCACCTTTGGTGTGTGCTGAAAGTCGGGCTCTTGAATGAGCCCAGATAAAGCTGAGTGGGGTTGAGCTGCGTTTTCAGGGTGGTTACACCCATTTCTGAAGGGCCATTTCCCTTACACAGAGCTTGGATTTCTTATCCTTATCTCCCCAGTCCAACCCCAATCCAGAGGGGCTGGCAGAGCTCCCCCCAGCAGCAGAGCAGCCCTTCCTCTGCTTTTTAGTACAAATTCCCCCTTGGTGGCTGGGCACCAGCACTCAGGGAGCAAAATGGGATTATTATTATTATTATTATTATTATTATTATTATTATTATTATTATTATTATTATTATTTTTAATTATCATCATCATCATGATGTATAGAGTATATATACATTACTAATATTATTGAATATTTCTATTACTATATATTTATAACAATATATGAATGTATATAGTATATACTAGTGTGTATAGATGCACTATTTATATATCTATATGCCTATGTAGGTGTATATATATATATATTAATGTATATACATTTTACATACATTATATATAATATAATAATATATTGTATATATAATATACCATATAACATACAATATAATATAACTATATATAATATATAATATAGAATACAATATAATATAATATAATAATATATTGTGTATATAATAATATATTGTATATATAATATACCATATAACATACAATATAATATAATTATATATAATATATAATACAATAATAATATATAATATATAATACAATATATTGTATATATAATATACACTATAACATACAATATAATATAATTACATATAATATATAATACAATGTAATATAATATAATCATATATAAATATAACAAAGATGACAATAATAATAATAATAATAATAATAATAATAATAATAATAATAATAATAATAATAATAATAATAATATAACTCAGAGGGTGGTGGGGCCGTGGTCGAAATAAAGTGAATTTTTGTGGTTAGGGGGAGATGTGGAAGTGGAATTGTGAGTAGATTTGAAATGGCCCTGTAGGAAACACGGGGAGGGAAGAGGAGCATTCCTGGGATAAGAGCTCCAAGGGGAATTTCTTCTTATCCATGTGCTGAGGCAAACGAGGAGGGGAATTTAAACACCCTGAAGTGAGGCGTGAGGGCTTCGTTCTGCCCGGGGCTGAATTCCCACTTTATGGGTGATCTATGGTTTGTGGAACACATCTCCAGGGGCACCACAGTGCCCAAAAGCCATGGAGCTGTTGGAGAGTGTCCCAAGGCGGGATGCAGGGATGGGGAAGGGTGTGGAGGGGCTGAGGGCACTGGGATTTTCCGGGGGGGCACTGCTGGGGGTGCCCAGACCCCACAGACCCCCCTGTGACGTGTGTGTGTCCCAGAGCGGGGCAGGGCATTGCCACTGGGCACATTGCTTTGCTCATTCCCATTTATTCCCCGTTCCCGCTCTCCAAACTCCGGCTCCTGGAGTTATATTTTATCCCCAGCTCCCTGGCTGTGGGTTTATCCCAGTGTTTTGGGCAGAGCCTGGGGGGGCCTTGGCCTGGTTCCAGGGCGGCTGCGTGCGAAGGGAAGCGGGGACAGATGGGCCGGGGCGGAGCAGGGCCAGGCGGGCACGGAACAACCCGGAGACTTTTCCCTTGGCATCTCCCGCCTGGGCCCGGGAAGGCTCCAGGCAGCGTTTCCTTGAGTGTTTCCTGGGAAAAAAAGGTAAAAAAGCCAAATTAATGCCCGTCCCAGCGTTGTCAGGATGATGCTCAGGGTGAACGCCAACTCCCCACTGCAGGGAGGAATTACATCAAATAATTCATACCCATTTACAGGATGGATAAATCCACACTTCTTAAACAAAATTAATTTAATTTTTAAAATAAATTAGCCAAGCCTCCATTTAGGACAATAAAAGCAAACTGTTTTGTTCTTCTCTTAGGCAGTACATTACGAATTTACGCTTTGATTTTCATGCAAATTGGCGGAAAATGTCAACATGTTTACTCGGATATTTTGTTGGATGATCATTCGTTCCTTTAGTCCCAAAATCGTCCCTGCTAATAAGCAGAAGTGGCAGTGGTTGTACATTGAGGCGATTTAAGATAAATGTGGGATGCCTGGAGCATTTCTCCAGCTCTCATTCCCATTTCATGGTGGCTCCATGAGGGAATGAGGGACACATGGGAGCAATGGGGCCAAGGAATCCCAGCAGAGGTGGGGTCAGGAACAAAAACCCCATAAACGTGTCTGTCCCTTCCAGCTTCCCCCCAGATCTGCTCCTCCCTCCAGTCTGAGATGATCAAATCCAAAAATACAACTGTGCATCCCAGGAGCACGGGAATGGAATTCTGGATAACCACAGGATCATGGAATGGTTTGGAAGGAATTCTCACCTCGCAGGGGACAAGTCACCATGGAAAATGCCTTCCAAGCATTATTGATAAACAGACAACCCAATGACCCCTCCTAATGCATAACTGAGCATTTAATACTAAAAAAAGCGAGAAACATTTTCTTTGACAAGACCAATTCTTAATTTTTATATAATATTCTGAATGTAGCTGTTATAAATTTGAGATGTCGTGTGTCAACTCCATTACTGTCATTTTATATTTCATATTTATTTTATATTTAATATTTCATTGTAATATTTCACATTTTATATTTTTATTTTTATATGTATATTCCATGTCATATTTTATAATTTATATTTATTTGTAATTTAGATTTTTATTTTATATTTTATGTTTATTTTACATTTTACTTTTTATATTTTATATTTTATATTTTATATTTTATATTTTATATTTTATATTTTATATTTTATATTTTTATTTTAGATTTTATATTTTAATGTTTTCTATTTATTTAATATTTTTATTTTAGATTTTATATTTCATCATTTATATTTTATGTTTTACATTTCCTGCTTTATATTTATTTTTTATTTTATTTTTATGTCTTATCACTTTATATTAAATTTTATTTTTTATTTTATATCTTATGTTTTCTATTTTGTATTTTTTAAGCACTGATTTACCATCCTGCACACACACACACACACACACACACAGAGTATATGTGACCCATGCATGAGTCCTCCATAGAGAACCCTTGACACTCCTGCACAGTTGATGTGTTTTCTATCATCTTTATATTTTTATTTTAGATTTTACAATTTTTGTAAAATTTTGTATTTTATTCTTCATGCTTTATATCTATTTTACATTTTATTTTTATGTCTTATTACCTTTTATTAAATTCTATTCTTTACCATTTATTAAATTTTTACCTTACCTTCTTTTAACTTCTATTAAATTTTATTTTTTATTTTATATCTTACATTTTCTGTTTTCTATTTTGTATTTTCTAAGCACTCATTTACCATCCTACACACACACACACACAGAGACACAGAAGATATTTGACCCAAGCACCCATACAGAACTCTTTACACTCTTGCACAGTTGATGTGTTTTCTATGATCTTTATATTTTTATTTTAGATTTTACATTTTTTATATTTTGTGCTTTATATCTAT